GCCGGCAGTGCTGGCTTGGGAAGAATGAGGAAAGGGCATAGAGTCTGAACGTGTTTTGAAGGTGGAGGTACAGGTTTCCTGCCAGATTGGCTGTAATGATGTGAGGGGGCATTAAGGAGCTGGCCTTCATCCTGCGGTCTGCTGTGTGACTAGGAATGATGGTGGCCTACGTAGAAACTGTATCACAGCCAGCATGCTAGGAGTGAGCCATTCCTTTGGGATGGGGCAGAGGAGGCTCACGCCTGGCGTCGGTCCTTACCTCCTCCTCCTCCTCCTGCACTGCAGCCCCGGAAAGCCAGCGCCACATGCAGTTCTGCCACAGCAGCAGCCTCCAGTGGCCTGGAGGAGTGGACCAGCCGGTCCCCGCGGCAGCGGAGTTCAGCCTCTTCGCCCGAGCACCCTGAGCTGCACGCCGAGCTGGGCATCAAGCCCCCTTCCCCAGGCACTGTCTTAGCTCTTGCCAAACCTCCTTCACCCTGTGCACCAGGTCAGTGACTTGGTGACAGGGAAGCATGCTGGGGTTAGGAGGTGCTGCCTAGGTTGTGGGCACCCTGCCTCTGACTGTCCCTCTGCCCCAGGTACAAGCAGCCAGTTCTCAGCAGGGGCCGACCGGGCTACTTCCCCCCTCGTGTCCCTCTACCCTGCTCTGGAGTGCCGGGCCCTCATTCAGCAGATGTCCCCCTCTGCCTTTGGTAAGCCTCCTCTATCTAGGGGCCAGGGGCCAGCTGGGAGTTGGGGAGAGATGGAAGAAGCAGCAAGTCCTGAGAGGGGGCTTCTAGAGCTTCTGGCCCTCTCCACAGGAAAAGGGAGTTTTTCAAGCCAAAGTGATGTGTCCAGAGCAGATTTGCGTGGGATTTCATAGGCCCAGAGGAGCCCTCTCTGTAGAGAAAGAGGGGCCTGGATGGGATCTCTCCGGAGCCAGGATCAGCAAAGGCTGAGGAGAAGGTGCGCTGGGAGTGCCCCATCATCCTTTTCCTCTTCGTCTTGCCCAGCAGGTCTGAACGACTGGGATGATGACGAGATCCTAGCATCGGTGCTGGCAGTATCCCAACAGGAATACCTAGACAGTATGAAGAAAAACAAAGTGCACAGAGATCCACCCCCAGACAAGAGTTGATGGAGACCCAGAGACTGGAGACCATCTCCCAACCCCCACCACTCCTGCCCTCCGGTGCCGCCCCACCTTCTTTGGCTTTCTTCCCTCTTGCCTTCTTCCCTTTTTCCCCTCCTTCTGCTCCTCCCCACTTCCCTCTGGCTGGCCCACCCCTGCGCCCCCTCTCATCGCTGCCACCACCACCATCACCCGTCTCTTCGCCAGCTGACGTGCCCTGTTGCCCCCTGCACAGCACCATCCCTGCATTCCACAGGGGACTTGGGCAAGGGTGCCGAAGGTAGGCGAGAGGCACACAGACAAACCAACTGGCAGCCAGGCAGCCCCCGAGGAGAGACATTCAGACAGAGGAAAGTATCCTTGCCCCCCATTCCTTCCAAGATCAGAAATACTTGTCACCCCACCTCCACAATGATACTGGGGAGGTGGGAGGAAGAAGTGGGAATTCCCCTTCCCAGTACCCCAAGAATGTCTGAGCCTTCAATGTTGAATTTTTTCTTTATTAAAATGTACTTTTATCTTATAAACTCAACCAATCCAAAATGATGTAGACAATAGCATTGGCTCTGTGAAGGCGGCATCTCTCTGGTTTGGGAGCAGGCAGGCCACGGGGCACAGAGGGGGCACAAAGATGTGGTTGCCATCTCTAGCCTTCAGCTCTGTGGAGGTGGGCAGGGCCTAGAGTACAAGCTGGGGCAGGGGCAGGTGTCCCGTGGGCTTTGGACAATGAGACTCTGGCCTCGCAGCATTCCTACTGCTTCCACACCACTGCCACCGCCACCGGTCTCTGGAATCTTGGGGTGGGGCCACCTTTGATGATCAAGGCTGCTGCCACCCAGGATTTGAGTGTGGGGAGTAGGAACAGCCTCAGCAGATGGGGCACCCGTGCCCTGCAGGTGTTAACAAGATCCACCATCTGTAATGTCCTTGGCACAATAAAACCAAATGTCAGTTTCCCCTGAGTGCCTCTGTTCTGTGTGGGGCATGGGGTGGGTGGGCCTCTGGGCAGAGGCAGTGATGGCATAGGCCTTGGCTTGATCTCTGAGGGCTGCATGCTCTCCAGTAGGGTATGTCTGTGGGCCCAGTTTGTTCATATTTGATTCATTCTTACTAAACCAACTTCTGGACCTGTTCCCACGAAGAAAGCTCCATCTTACTTGCACACGTAGCCTGCCCACCCTGTGTTCTGGGGTATGGTGGAAGCAGAGAACTAGGAGCTTGAGGGCTGGAACTGAACTTGCAGCTTTTCTGCCTGCCTCCTTCCCTATGTATGTTTGCTCTTTCCTTGTGCTCCTTGATGCGGAAATGCTTTGGGAAGGCACACGATGCTTCGTATCAACATAAGCTCAGTGAAATCAACTGGAGGGGCCTCCCTGGTTTAACTAAGGGATGGTTAAACCCTTTCTTTTTCATGTTCCCGGTCCTCTGACACCCATGCCCCTGCCTTTCCTTGGCATAAAGCCAAGGCAGAGAAGGATGGCTGACCCCCAGGTCTTGTCAAGAGTGTGTTTTGCTGTGCCTCACAAGCGGGGCCCCTGTGGAAGGATGTGTGTCCAGCTCTGCCGCCAAAGGCATGGCTGGCTGGGTGGCCATCTTGTGGGGTGCCTGTGGAATCCACATTGGTCAAGCATGCACATGTTGGAAAGTTGGTTGGGAGCCCACCCTGGCTTTTTATAGTTTTGTGATCTTGGTCAAATCACAGGCTGAGTTTCAGGGGTCCCACCATGTGTATGGTAGGAGTGATTAATGTCTACTACCTCACGCTCTCTCTGGTTGTGAGCACTGGGAGAGAATGCACATGGTCAGCGTATAATAATGTCTGATGGCATGGTGCCTGGCATGTTCTGAGAGCCCAGAGGTTAGCAATTAGTATTTATTTACCTCATTTTGAAGTTTGTACACCATTTACCCCCCTGCCTTCTTGCCACCCTGTCCAATTTCACTGGCTTCTGCCTGGAATTTGCCCTTCCCCATCCTGAGCCCCCAACCTTGTCCTTCAAGATAGAGTGTCACCTTCTGAGAAGCCCTGTGTGACCTCATCCATATTCTCACCTCTATCCACAGATACATCTTTACTCCTTCCCCAATAACTCCGTGATTCACTTCCTGGGCAAGGGCTGTGATGCCTGACTTAATTTGTGTTATCTCTAATATCTGCACCCTTGCTGGGACCTGGTAGGCTTATAGTAGCCCCCTAATAAATACTGGATGAATGAGGGAGAGTACATGTGTGTATCTGCTTTTTGGGTGTGTGTGTGTGTGTGTGTGCATGCATGCACGCATTTGGTGAGTTCAAGTCTTCACATGCACCTTGCAATGTCTAGCGTGTGTGATGAGGGCTTGTTTCCAGGTGTGTCAGATGGTGACTGAGTGTGGGACTCTATCTCTGACAGTTTATGTCTGTTTCTGAGACAAGTGCATGTCTGCGTGGGTCTGTGACAGCGCATCTGCAGTTTCTTTCTGATGGGGTGGATGTCCGTTTGTATTCCTGTGACAGATTCTGGGTAGCTATTTCTGGACAGTTTCAGTGACAACACTGCATGTTTGTGGGTGTGTGTCTGTCCACGTCTGTTTTTGTGACGCTGCCTATCTATGTGGCTCTGTCGCTTAAGTATTTATGTCTGCCTTTGGAGAAGTACTTGTGTGTCTGGAGCATCTGTGTGTCTTCCTGTGACAGACTCAAGGTCTCTCATTTCTGGGACAGTACAAGTCTTCCCCTGACGGTGCATGTCTGATGGTGCCAGTATCTTTGTGACAAGTTCTGGTGGTGTGTCTGACAAGACATTTCTGTGTCATTGTCACATGGCAGCGTCGGTCCATGTGAATCTCTCGAGTGCCTGTCTTTCCTTAACAGTGTTTCACTGGGTGTCATTCCGGGACTTAACTGGCAGCATGCCTGCCTGATGGTGGATGTCAGGCTCTGTGACAGTAGATGTCTGCATGTGTGTCTAGGACAAGTTTACATGAATGCGTCTGACTATGGGTTTTGTGTATATCACATGGTACTTCTGCGTGTCTTGAATGCATCTCTTTCTCCCGCATGAGGATCGACTATTTTTCCCAAATTTGTTTTTCCCAAATTTGTGACTGAGGGTATTTTACCACCTGTCTGAGTTCTTTCCGTCCCTGTCTCTACCACCATTCTGGCTCGCTAGCACCCCACCCCCACCCGAGCTCCACTTCCCTCTGCCATTCCAGATCTAGATGTGCTGACTGGGCTCGCTGCCAGACCTAGCCAGGTCTGTCCAGGTTAAGGGCTCCAAAACACCCGCAGCCCTCCGCCTCAGGGCGTGGGAACGCTGTCTTTGACCAGCGCGTCTCCCGCGGTAGTAGTCAGGGGGGTTTACCCATCCCTGGAAGCTGGACAGATTCTTCCAGGATTCCTGGCTTCAGTTTTGGGGCAGAGGCCTCTAGCCGCTTAAAGGGCTCTGGTCCTGTGTGAGGAGCACTCTTTGGAGACAAGGTCCTGGGTAGCCACAGGCCCAGATTCTTAGAAGCCCGGCGTGGCATTATCTCCGCGCTAATCTCGAAGCAGCGGCTGCAAACCAACTTCCTAGGAAAGGAGGCGGTGCAGTTATTTTTTTAAGTTTATATCTATATATACACATACACACACATATATAAAAACAACCCCGCGCAACAACCAAAACAAATGCGGTTGCTGCAAAGGGATTCCCAGAACCGGTTTCCTCTTTGCGCGCGCCCCTCACATTTGCATGCAGGCCCGGCCCCCGCGGAAGATCCGGGCATGCATTTGCATAAGGGGGTACTTGAAACGTTGAGGGTGGTATGCAAATTAGGACTGGCTCCTATTGGCTGGGGTACAGCAGGTGCCGCGTCCGGATTGATCAAAGCCAAGTGGGCGGGGCTGTCGCCCGGGGCGACTCTCTCGGGAGGCGCGTGCCCCGGCTCAGTAGCGTTGGGGCTGGCGCGCGCGTCGAATCTTAACGTTGCGCTGTTTTGCTGGCGCTTTGGGGCCATCAGCTTCTTTGCCTTCCACCCTGGCGCCCCCAAGTCCTGGCTCCCCAGCCTCGCTACCCCGGGCATCCACGCCCTGCGGGCTCAGCGGGCTCAATCTGCGCAGCACCACCTCCATGGTGACTAAGCCTCTGCAAGGGCTCCCCGTGGCCCCCGTGACCCCCACGCCGCCGCCAGGTGAGCGAGGCTCCCCTACCGCGACTAGGCCGAGCGGGCTGAAGTGGTTGAGGGCGGTGCGGGGGGGAGGGGGAAAGGGTCGCGGCAGGGCTCAGCACGCAGCCACCCTGACTTCCTCGCCTCCGCCTGCGTAGGAGGCAAGGATCGCGAAGCGTTCGAGGCCGAGTACCGACTCGGCCCCCTCCTTGGTAAGGGGGGCTTTGGTACCGTCTTCGCAGGACATCGCGTCACTGACCGACTCCAGGTATCAACCACGAGGGTCTTGGGTGGGTCAGGGGTGGTGTGTGTGCGTGCGTGCGTGCGTGCGTGCGTGCATGTGTGGTGTGTGTGTGGTGGGTGGGAGTCCCGAGGCTGGGATGCTCATTGACCAGGGGATGAGCCGACAATGTGTGCATGGTAGGGTCATGAGGACCAGGATCCGGGTTGGTGGGGGTGCCCGAGCGCGCGCACGTGCGCGCGCTTGTTTGTGTGTGTGTGGCGATCCAGGTGGGTATGTGGGGGAGAGGGGGTTTCAGGGCAGGGATGCTGGAGGTCCAGGGAGTGAGACTGGGGATTGGGGGGTCGTGAGGACTCTAGACCCAGGGATCCAGGGGATGTGTATCTGTGTGGGAAGGTAGAGAGACCCAGAGCTGAGATTTGGGGGATTTCGAGGGCAGATGTCCAGTGTGGAGTCCTTAGGACGACGAACCCAGTACAAAATTGGAGGGTCTTGGAGCTGGATGGTAAGATTGAGGGCTTGGGGTATTAGGAAATTAAGAGCCCAGGATCTGGAGTGTGGGGTCCTGAAGCCTGAGAAGAGAGAACCCAGGGCCAAGGATGATGGGAGAGATAAACTCAGTTCTGGGGACTTGGAGAGCAGGGGAGAAACTCCAGCTCATTTTGGGTTGTGGTGTAGCGAGGTTGGTACCCGAAAGACTAGAGTGAGGGTCAAGATTGGGGGGGTCAAAGGGTCATCTGGTGGCTCCCTCACCTCAGCCCCCCTCTCCAGGTGGCCATCAAAGTGATCCCCCGGAATCGCGTGCTGGGCTGGTCCCCCTTGGTGAGTATCTCTGGAGTCGCTGACCTGGCGACGCCATCTCTGAAGATGGGACTCAGCAACCCCTTGCCTTTCTAGGGCTTGTATGATTCCCTGGGCCCTGTAACGGTGAAGAGAATACTCCTACCAGCCTGTGTTTACTCCCCTCTGGTGACATCCACACCTCCATACAGTTCTGATTCACCCCAGCTCGCTTTGGGCCCTGGATTCTCCCCCTCCAACCCTCCTTTCTCCTCCTCCCTCCAAACACAGGCTCAGGGGCTGCCCGCAGGGCATGCTGGTGGGGAAAGAGGGGCATAGGTCACTGGTTGCCATGGTGACGGTGGCTGCTTCTCTTGGGCCGTTAGAACGCTAACGGACAACAGGGCGGGTCTGGGCAAGTTATAGGGGTGGGAGCGCCCCCTGGCGGACATTGGGGGAGACTGCGCCTGCGCAGGTTGTGGGACCCGGAGGGAGAAGGTGCGCCTGCGCAGTAGCGAAAGTTTCATCACCGTGAGAAAACCTGTCTGCGGCTGTGCTAGTCAGCGTACTGGCCGGGAGAGGGCCCCACCTCAGGCAGGAAGGCTGATTCTGGGGGTCCGTATGCCCTCACCGGGCTTCTGGCGTAGGGCGGCTTTTGTGGCCTAGCACTTATGCCTTTTATTGAGCACTGACTGTGTGTCTCAGGTTTTGCTTCATCATCAAAGTTTACTGTGTTCCCAGTCCCACTAAGTACTTGCGTTCAACCCAGCTCTAGATGTTCAATGACAGTGACAAAACATCACATGATAGTATTATTGAGTTCTTACTTTGTTCCTTTGCAATTAATCACTTTTACCTACTTAACAAATGTATATTGAGGACCTACTATGTGCCAGGCACAATTTTAGGCATTTGACAAAATATTACATTTACTGAGAGCTTATTTTTTGCAGGGTTCTTTTCTACTAATTGCTTTTACCTATTTAATAAATATGTATTAAACCCTACCCTGTTCCTTACCAGGCATTGTTATAGTCAGTGAACAAAACAGACAAACCATTATACAATAATAGTATTTTTGTGAGCTAACTCTGTGCCAGACTGTACTATCAAGTGCTTTCAACTATTTAACAAACATCTATTGAGCACCCACTGTATGTAAGGCACTGTTCTAATCTCTTCTCATATGCCAGTGAACAAAAGATAGACTATTACATAATAGTGTTCATCAGTTGCTTCTTCAGCAGAAAGCCTTTTTAAAAAAATATATTTTATTTGTTCATTTCAGAGACAACGTGCATGCACGTGCACACCAGAGTGAGGAGAGGGGCAGAGGGAGAGGGAGAGAGCATTTCAAGCCGACTCCCACTGGGCTGAGCATGGAGCCCAACGTGGGACTCGATCCCATGATCCACGAGATCACGACCTGAGCTGAGCTCAACCGACTGAGCCACCCAGGTGCCCAAGAAGGCCTTTTTTAAAAAAATAACTTTCAGTTACTGAAATATTTACTCAGTTCCTATAATGTGCCAGATGTGCATGGGCTTTTGGCTCAAATGACCTTTCTAGTGGCTGTATTTGAGCCCTTAACACAGGGAAACTGGGGCTCAGGGAGGGAAGTGGGCTGCTGAAGGACACACAGTCTGGAGGCTGAGGGGCTACGATTTAAGTTCAGGCAAGAAGTCAGCCTCAGAGCTACTGGCTTGATGTCTGTGTTCTCTTTTCTCTCCCCTTCCCCCCACAGTCAGACTCAGCCACATGCCCACTGGAAGTGGCATTGCTATGGAAGGTGGGTGCAGGTGGTGGGCACCCTGGCGTGATCCGCCTGCTTGACTGGTTTGAGACACCAGAAGGCTTCATGCTCGTCCTCGAACGGCCGTTGCCTGCCCAGGATCTCTTTGACTACATCACAGAGCAGGGCCCATTAGGTGAGGGCCGAAGCCGCTGCCTGTTTGCCCAGGTAGTGGCAGCTGTTCGCCACTGCCACGCCCGTGGAGTTGTCCATCGTGACATCAAGGATGAGAACATCCTGATGGATCTCCGCCGGGGCTGTGCCAAACTCATTGATTTTGGCTCCGGTGCCCTGCTTCACGATGAACCCTATACTGATTTTGATGGTAAGTCTTCACTAAATCTTAATGGGGGGGTTAATCTTTTATCTTTATGGTCCCTTGATCTTTGACCTCTAGTGCTGGGGTACCCCGTGCTCCTTGATCTATATCACACCTTTATAACGTTCTTGAGTTTTAATATTGGGGGCTCTCAAGCCTTGTCCTCTCCTAAAGTCCATCTTCTGACAGTGCCCAGACCTGGTGAGGGATTATGTTATTATCCTGAGTGTTCCTTTTCTGTCTGGTAAAGGGATCCTACTCTTACTTTTAAGGGCTTCTATTCTGTTGAGGCCACTCTGCTGTTACCTTAATTGTTCTTTTCCTGATGATGAGACTCTGCTGTTATATTTAAAGAACTCTTCCGGTTAGGGGACCCTGCTTCCGTAGTGTGTTCTCTTAATTCTGGTGAGGGGACCATACTTTTGGGGGGGGAGGGGCATTATCGGGGAGTGGTCTAATCTCTGGCTTGTGTGCAGGGACAAGGGTGTACAGCCCCCCCCGAGTGGATCTCTCGTCACCAGTACCACGCACTCCCAGCCACTGTCTGGTCACTGGGTATCCTCCTCTATGACATGGTGTGTGGGGACATTCCCTTCGAGAGGGACCAGGAGATTCTGGAGGCTGAGCTCCACTTCCCTGCCCATGTGTCCCCAGGTGAGGCCTTCACCAGTCCTAGCTCAGTGGACTCCATCCTTCCCAGGGCCTACTGTCCCCAACTGACCACTAATCTGTGTGCTTCTGATCCACAGACTGCTGTGCCCTAATCCGCCGGTGCCTGGCCCCCAAACCCTCTGCCCGACCCTCACTGGAGGAGATACTGCTGGACCCCTGGATGCAGACACCAGCTGAGGATGCACCCCTCAATGCCCCCAAGGGGGGGGCCCACCCCTTTGGCCTGGTCCCTGCTGCCCTAGTCCTAGCCAGGCCCCCACTAGTTGGAATAGCCGTCCCATGGCATGCCACAGGGATAGATGGACATCTGTTGACCTGGTTATACAGGTCATTAAAAATCCAGTGTTGTTAGGGTCAGAGATTGGGGATCAGGGGTCAGGAGACATAAACCAAGTCTGCCCACTCCCCATCCCAATTCTGCTAAGGAGCCTTCCTCCCAGAACTTATGGTCTCTTATTCTGGAGGGCGGGGGGAACTTCCTTATTTCTCATTTTGCTAAGGGTGTTTATTTGGTTGAGGTTCCTTCCATTCTGAGCCCCAGGACTCTTATTCTGATGAGTTGTAACCCCTACACTGGCACCTCCTGCTGCCACCACACACACTTAGTTCAAATGCTCTCACTTGGGCAAGGGTGCTTTCCTTCCAATGCCCCAGCAGCTCTTATTTTAGCAAAAGGACCCTTTCCCCTAGCCCAGGGTCCTATATTCAGTCAAGCTGCTTGCCTACCTCAGCCCAGGGTTGCTGATTCTGGGGGAGGTAATGCCCTATTGTTATCCCAGGACTTTTTTTTAATTATTTTTATTATTATTACTATTTTATTTTATTTTTTTTTTATTTTTTATTTTTTTGGTGAGGGGACCCTACTCTGTTATCCCAAGTGCTCTTATTCTGGTGAGGAGAACCCTACTTCCATGATTTGGGAAATGGGAGATGGACACCACCAGAGTCCGCTAGGATGGGGTGGATGGTTTTTTGGGATGGGGTGGGGGAAGTCAAGTCTAGTTGTTTGTTCTCCTGGGCCCCCCCTCCATCTTTTTTGGATTCTTGCTGCCTCCTTCTGAGCCAGGATTGTCCAGTTGCTGAAATGTAAATACTTATGTATTGGTGGGAGGGGAGCTCCAACTATGTCCTCCTCTTCCTTCTCCCCCTGCCTGGATTATTTAAAAAAGCCATGTGTGGAAACCCACTATTTAATAAATGTTATAGAATCAGAAGTGACTGGCCATTTGTAGATGAAGCAAGGAAGCTCACTATTTGATAAATGTTCTAGACTCAGAAGCGACTGGCTATTTGTAGATGCAGTGAGGCAATTATGAAGCATGTAATGTATACTGAGTCAAGAGGGAGGTGGGCTGGATCGCTCCTCTGCTCTTGGGAGGGCTTCGCCCTGTGGTACTGTCCTAAGGCTGTTTTATGGGTTGGTCTAAACAGGAACACAAAGAAAAACGGATTTCCCGCATTCCAGCTCTTAGGTAGTTCCCAGGATGTGCAGAAGGGCTCCGCTGGATCTACTGTAGACCCTGAAGATTGGCATATGTCCCCAGTCAAAGAGGGCTTGCTCGGCCAGAGAAAACTGCCTCCCCCCAATGCCGGGGGAGGAAATAAAGCACTTCTCCCGAGGAGAAAAGGCCTTTCAGGTCACCGGTGAGGGAGGGGCCGGGCACTGACAGAAACTTTCCCAACCCTTCCATGTTTCCGGATAACATCCGGGGTGGAAGTACCCGTTTTGCCCCTACCTTTTTTCACCTCTCCCTTGCTCTCTTGTTCATCCCTCCTCTCTCATTCTTCACCTCGACGTCCCCGCCCTAACCTTAGCTGTACCCTCTCTTGCTCCGCTTTCAAAAGCTAACCTGAAAGCCTCACCTGGTGGCTTACCTGTCCCCTTCGCACTCCCTTTCCTCCTCAACAGGGGCTCGCTTATCCTCCCTACTCTCAGTCTCCCCTCTCCAACACCTTGCTTGTGTGGCCTCAACTGTTCTGCTCCTTTGCCCGCCTGACCCTCACCTGTCCCGCGCCATCAGTCTAAATTTCCTCCCAGCCGCCTGCGTACTCTCCAGGGGGCGGGACCTCGCCGGGAGGTGGGCTAAAGAGGAACTTCAGTCCAACCAGGAAGGTACCCAGGAGTTTTGGTGCGGAAAGGGCGGGGTCATCTGTAGAAGCTGCCAATGAAGAGCTGAGATAGAAGAGGCTCAGCTGAGCCAATGAGACAAGGACACACGATGGGCGGGTGATCTAGAAAGCGAGATCAATGAAGTCGAGGGCGGGTCTAGTAACGGGAATGAGCCAATGAGGCTCTGTAGAGACAGCTAGAGGCTGAGTCGGCCGTGTATTGGGTCTGCCCATCCCGACGGAATCTGGGAATCCCGAGGCTGCGGTCTTAGGTTACCACTGTCCGGGAGCGGACGAGAAAAACCACAGCTCTGGCCAGCCCCTCACTCGCCCCGCCCCTACCCCGGAGGCCCGGAAGCGGAAGTTACGGATACGGAAGTGCCCTGCTGTTGCCGAGGGGACGGGCCAGGCAGATGCCAACATGGCAGCGGTTGGGTCTGGCGGTTCTACCGCGGCTGCTGCGCCAGGGGCGGTCTCCGCGGGGGCGTTGGAGCCTGGAACCGCGAGTGTGGGTGAGACAGGCCGTGGCCGAGCAGGCGGTGGCCGGGCGAGGGTCGGGATCGCTGGGGGGTCAGGAAGGTTCCTCACTCAAGCGAGAGGGAGCATTCCTTATGGACCCACCTATGTGTGCGTGGTGGGGGGTGGAGGAGGGAGGACGGAACGGTCCACTGTGAGTGTGTTGGAAGGCGGGGAAGAGACCATTCTGAGGGTAATTGGGGGGGGGGCCCTTCCGCATATGGGGGAAGGGAAACTTTTTGGGGACTGGGGGGTTTTTGCCTTTGGGGGAGGCTAAGACCACTGAGACCATTTTGAGTTTGTGTGGGGGGGGTCCGTCCTTAGAGAAGGGAGAGAGCATTCTGAGGGTGGGAAAGTTCTTCCTTATAGAATAAAGAGGCTGTTCTGTGGGTGGTGGTTTCTTCCTTATAAAGGGATAGGGGTTATTGTGAATTAGGGTGGGGCGGGTCCTTCCATACCCGACTTAGAGGGTCCGTTTTGAAGATTGGGATGTCCGTTATAAGGAGATAAGACTGTTCTGGTGGGTCCCTTCCTAATGCTGGTAGAGTCCATTGTATATTGGAGTGAGAGGGTCCTTTCTTACATGGCAGAGAAAAGACATTCTGAGGGTGTGGGGCCCTTCTTTATAGCGGGGAGAGTTCATTGTGAGTGTGAGTAGAACAAGGAATGATTCCTTGGCTGGAGGTAGGGAAGGTGCAGTGGTTGGAGGATGACTGGGCCATGTGGAGTATAGGGAAATACTTCCTTATGTCCTCGAGGGAATCACACCATTCTTGGTACAGTAACCATTTATTATATGGGGTCCAGTCCTAGGGGCTGTGGAGGAATTATTTCTTAAGTTAGTGAAACCATTCTGTGTCAGAGGGACTCTGGTGGTCATAGAAGGTAGGAGTTGGAAAGACCATTCTCAGTGTGAGGGGATGGAATAATATCTTAGATGGGAGGAAGACCGTTCTTTAGGGGGTGGACATGCCTTATATAGTGGTCTCATTCCCTGTATTGAGGTATCATTCTTTACATAGGACGACCCCTCATTAAATAGAAGCATCATTTCATATAAATCTGTGGTTTGCTCACCCATATAATGGAATCCTTGTAGCTCGCTCAGAGATCAGAACAACATAGGGATCTGCTGAGGTATTCCACATAAATTCTTTACCCCAGCGATAGGTAGACAGCACTCAATAAATGTTGAGAATGTGGTTGGTAGTCCGTCTTGGGGTGGAGTTGCTTCTCACACAGAGGAGGGAGAGAGGGGGCCCAGTGTGTTCAGCACCTGCTCCAGCCATTTCCTGATACCTCAGCAAGGATTCCAGGTATGGGCTGGATGGGGCGAGGTCCACTTCCTCCTTTGTGGCTCTTCCTGCCTGTTGAGGCAGCAGAAGTAGATGGGAGTCAGACCCTCCTTGGGTCAGGATAGGGAGGCAGAGAGAGGAAGTGGCAGTGCCTAGGAGGATCCTGGTTGAGAAAGGAGTGAGGGGGAAGGTGGTGGTGTGGCTGTGTCCTAGCAGCTTCTGACCCCTTCTTCCCCCTTGCTCATTGAATTTCCCACAGCTCACCGGCGCCTCAAATACATATCCCTAGCTGTGCTGGTGGTCCAGAATGCCTCCCTCATCCTCAGCATCCGCTACGCCCGCACACTGCCTGGGGACCGCTTCTTTGCCACCACTGCTGTGGTCATGGCCGAAGTGCTCAAAGGTCTCACCTGCCTGCTGCTGCTCTTCGCACAGAAGAGGGGTATGAGCCAGCAAGGGGGGCGGTGGTGCTGCACTGGGGTCAGTGGTGGGACTTTGTGTGTGTATGTGTGTACACCCATGCCCACATGGAGGGTTTGCTGGGGGAATATCACTGTATCCCTGTGTCTGAAACCGCCTGGGGAGTATGTAAGTGCAGCTAATCTGCCTTGTCCCTCCAGTCCTACTTTTAGACCCCTGATGCCCGGGAAGTTGGTCTGCGTGGACTGTAGGAGTGGTCTGTGCCCATAAGGTAGCAGGGGACCCTTACAGGGTGATTCACTTATTTCCCTTTAACTTTGCATTATGGATCATTTTAAACATATACAAACTTGGAGAGAATAATAAAATAAAATGTCCATGTACCCATCACCCAGATTCATCAGTTGTCCACTCATGGCCCCTCTGCCATTAAACAGCATCAGTGATTACCCACTCACTGTCCATCTCCCTGTCTGCCTACCTACCCACTCCCTGCCTTACTTTACTGCAGTGTGTCCCACACGAAGTATGTAGTATTTTGAAGTAAATCCCCACCCCTACCTTACTGTCTTGAATAAATATTTTGGTACATTAAAAATAACTGCAGTATCTAAAAATCATACATCAAAAAATGAACCCTAAAAGAATCAAATACCCAGTCAAGTGTTCACACACTTATAATGGCTTCTCAAATATCATAAAAATTTTTAAGAATTTGTCTCAGTCAGGTTTATATAAGGTCAGTGTCTTGCAATTGGTTGGTGTCTTCTAGGTCTGTTAACCTCAGGGTTCTCCTCCAGCTCTGTGATGGGCAGTTAATTTCTTGAAGAGAGCAGGTGGTTTGTCTTAGAGACTTTGGACAGTCTGCAGTTTGCTGCCGGCCTCCTAGTGATATCATTTAACATATTCCTCTACCTTTTCTGTACTTCCTAGAAATTGAATTTCTATACCAATTTAAACATCTCCCTAAAAGCCTGCTTTAAAATGTTGTCAGTTGTTTCTCTACAAAGGCCGTGCCAGGGCGCCTGGGGGGCTCATTCAGTTAAGCGTCTGACTCTTGATTTCAGCTCAGGTCATGATCGCAGGGTCTTGAGATCGAGCCCCACATTGGGCTCTGCACTTAGCAATGGGGAATCTGCTTGAGATTTTCTCCCTTTCCCTCTCCCCCGGCTTGTGGGCACGCACGCCCTAATAAGTAAATAAATCTTTACAAAAAATAATTAAAGGCCTTGCCTTTGTAAAGGATACAGATGTCTGTTCCAGCTCTGCTGTCAGTATTTACGATGAAGAAAACATTCTTGCCCACTCACTAGCTCCAGGGCCCTGGGAAGCAGCAGTTTGGGAACCCATCTGTTCTGTCCTTTCTTTCCTTTTTTTTTTTTTTTAAAGTGGACGTGTAGCTGAGATACACAGTTAACCATTGAACAACACAGGTTTGAGCTGTGCAGGCCCATTTAGATGCAGGTTTTTGTCTAATAAATACAGTACGGAAAATGTTTTTTCCTTAGGATTTTCTTCTCTGGCGTACTTTAATGTAAGAATACCATATATGATACATATAACACACAAAATGTTCTATGTTCTCTGTAAGGCTTCCAGCCAGCAGTAGACTATTAGGAGTTAAGCTTGGGGGTTGGGGGCATCAACAATTTATGTGGATTTTTAACTGTCTGGGGGGGTTGATGCCACAGCTCCTGTGCTGGTCACTGGTTAACTGTAATGTTTTCTTAGTTTCAGGTGTACAACGTACTGATTCAACAATTCTCTACATTACACAGTGCTCGCCATGATAAGTGCACTAACCATCTGTCACCAGACTGAGTTATTACCTTATTATTGGCTGTATTCCCTGTGCTGTACTTTTCATCCCTGTGACTTATTTGTTTTTATAACTGGAACTTTGTACCTCGTAACCCCCTTCGCCTATTTCGCCCATTTCCCGCTCCCCTCCCCGCCCTCAGCAACTGCCAGTTCTCTAGGAGTGTGTGATTCTGCGTCTGTTTTTGTGGTTGTTTGTTTTGTTTTGTTAGATTCTACGAGGTGGTGAAATCATTTGTCTTTCTTGGTCTGACTTCCTTCACTTAGCATCACGCCCGGGAGGTCCATCGTCTGCTCTCTCCCCTCCCCCACCTTCTGTTCTGTTCTCAGTTGATTTGAGACACTTCCAAGCGCTCATTGCGGCAGCCCCTGCCCTCAGGGGGGCTGATATTTGGGATGGGGAGAAGCAAAGAGCTGCGGATTTAAAACCACAGGCCTCCGCCTCAGATCTACAATTTCAGCCCCTTGCCCCATGTTGTTGTTGTTGTTTTTTCTCTTGAATCCGTTTTGTGGTAAAACCTGGCCTGACACCACATGGGGCTGTTTGTTTATCTGTGTTTTTAATTTTTCTCATTTGGTGTGAATGTTTACACAAGTCACCACAGAAATACGAACATGTGTGATTATGGCGTACAGCCCCCTGTATGTGAGGGCTGTGTTATGTGTTACGTGCCAGATTGCCCGTGCTACTTGTCTGATGCCTGGAAAATGTCCAACACCCAAACCCCTGGGCCCCAAGAGTTGGGGCTAAGGGGTTTGAGATGGGTAATTACTCCCAGGACGAAGGCCGGGCAGGGCCACGAGCCGTCAGTGCAAGTTCCCTGTGATAGCCCCGTGCACTGGCTTTCCCCTGCGATAGCCTGGTGCAGTAGGTGGGGTTTTCACAGAGGAGCAACACGCAGCTGAGCCTGAAAAGGTAAACTGTAGAGCTGTGCAGAGGCCTGACTCTCCAGGAGGGTCCTCTCTCTCATGCATCGGTGGGAGCAGGCCCCAGCCAGCCTTGGCTGCTTCTTAGTCCCACTGCCGCTGTTCCCTGTGGCCCGGGTGGCCCAGTCCTTGCATGTTGGGTGGGCAGAGCAGGAGATGGCTCCTGCCCTCAGGCAGCTCGCAGGCCAGTAAGGAGCTAGGATAAGCGTCATAGTTGAGTCTCCAACTTCCCCTCTGGTTGGCAGTCTGCCTTCCCACTCCTAAGGCTTCTCCTTCACAAGCTAGTTCCTACTGACAGTTTCACTGGCTAAACGGGTATTGAGTGCTTGCCCTGAGTGGGCCTCCTGTCCGGGGAGCTAGGCTGTACACTGAGTGAGGACAGCCTGCGAGCCTCAGCTGCGCACAGTCGAGGATGGTGGTTTTGTGTCCTATGAAACTGCTGGCCATGAGGCCTGCTGGGGGGGGGGTGCTGCACTGTGGGCAAACTGAGAGCACAGACCTCATTCAAGCCCTCAGGAAGTCAGAGTATGGTAGGGAGACGCAGGGCCCAGCCCAGTCCTGGCCCGCAGAGGATCTGCAGTGCTCAGGAGGACCGTCCTCCCCCTCCCCGTGCACCCCAGGTAACGTGAAGCACCTCGCGCTCTTCCTCCATGAGGCTGTCCTGGTGCGGTATGTGGACACGCTCAAGCTTGCGGTGCCCTCTCTCATCTACACCTTGCAGAATAACCTCCAGTATGTTGCCATCTCCAACCTGCCAGCTGCCACTTTCCAGGTGAGCTGCATGCCCACTGTGGCCTGGGAGGAGCTGGCTGGGGTCGGGGAGGTAGGAGGCCGACAAGGGGAGGGCTGCAGAGAGCTGGGGCCGTGTCGCCTTGGCTCTCCCTCAGTCTCAGTTCTTCATCTGTGAGAACCGGGAATGGGGACGGGAATGCCTCCTCACCAGGTTGCTGGGACGGCTAAAAGAAATAATATCTGGGAAGAGCCCTTGGTTGGCAGTAGGAGGGCTTTCGGCTGTTTCCAAGGAGGCCTTGGAAAACGGTTCAAGAGCCTGGATTCTGGGGCCCAGATTCCACCTCGGCTACTACTTCCCAGCTGTGTGATCTTGGGCAAGTCACTTGACATCTCTGTGCCCTAGTTTTCTCATCTTCCCATCAGACATTACAATAGCGTCCACCTCATCTGGGAGAGCAGTGAACGAATGGATTCACATGCAGTGCCCAGAGGCACAGAAGCACACAGCGGGCACTGTGTCAATGTTTGCCGATGTTATCATTGTGGCTGATTGGCTTGCATCAGCACCTAGTTATCAGCCGCCGCCCCCCCCCCCGCCCCGCGACCTCATCAGAGAACCTGTCACTTGTTCACTCACCTGCCGCGTGAGCTAGTTCACAAACAACAGCTGTACTCTACAGATGGTGATGTCAGGGCCGAGACAGGGCAAGTGCCTTGTTCCTCATCACACAGCCAGAAAATGGGGTTGGGGTGCAGACTTGGGTGTGGCCCGGGACTTCCTTGTGGAGCTGTGGACTTTCCGGGAAGCACGGCGCAGGGCTGTTTAGTGCCCTACCAGTCAGCTCCCAAGGACTGAGTGTCTTTCTGGTCGCCTGCCCTGCCCTGTCCCTGCACTGGGCACATTGCGGGATGGGGGTGGGGCGGGGAACAGCCCTTAGCACCTCCCGCATGCATGCCGCACACAGGTGACGTACCAGCTGAAGATCCTGACCACGGCGCTGTTCTCCGTGCTCATGCTGAACCGCAGCCTTTCGCGGCTGCAGTGGGCCTCCCTGCTGCTCCTCTTCACGGGCGTTGCCATTGTCCAGGCACAGCAAGCTGGGGGTGGGGGCCCTCGGCCACTGGACCAGAACCCTGGGGCAGGCCTGGTGGCCGTCGTGGCCTCTTGTCTGTCCTCGGGCTTTGCGGGCGTCTACTTCGAGAAGATCCTCAAGGGCAGCTCGGGCTCTGTGTGGCTGCGAAACTTGCAGCTGGGCCTCTTCGGCACGGCGCTAGGCCTGGTGGGGCTCTGGTGGGCCGAGGGCACTGCTGTGGCCCGCCGCGGCTTCTTCTTCGGCTACACGCCGGCCGTGTGGGGCGTGGTGCTCAACCAGGCCTTTGGCGGGCTGCTGGTGGCTGTTGTCGTCAAGTACGCCGACAACATCCTCAAGGGCTTTGCCACCTCCCTATCCATCTTGCTGTCCACGGTCGCCTCCATCCGCCTCTTCGGCTTCCACGTGGACCCGCTGTTCGCCCTGGGCGCCGGGCTGGTCATCGGTGCTGTCTACCTCTACAGTTTGCCCCGAGGTGCAGCCAAAGCCACCGCCTCCGCCTCCGCCTCCGGGCCCTGCACGCACCAGCAGCCTCCGGGGCAGCCACCACCACCCAAGCTGTCTTCCCACCGCGGAGACCTCAGCACGGAGCCCTTTCTGCCGAAGTCAGTGCTGGTGAAGTGAGGGCTGGTGGCGGTGGGGGGTGACAGGGAGGGGGACTGGGTGGAGGGTGTTGGGCATCTGCAGGGACCTGAGCTGCCACTGGGCCTGGCTCCTCTGGGACTGGAAGAGTTTTCTCCCAGGTCGTGGAGACTTCTGGAGGGGCATGGGACGGGGTGGAGCATCACATGAACCCTTCCTCGCAGACTGGGCCCCCCTCCACTGGAGGGGGCTTTGAGAGCTGCCTCGTCTGCCCCAGCCAACCCCTTTCGGGGACTGGGTTGGCAGTGTTGTCATTCAAGGCCTTTCTTTGCCTGCCTGCCCTCAGCTGGAGGTGTCCTGTCTTCCATGCCTGGGAGAGCCCCTCCTAGCAGCCCCTCCACCTTTGTAAGGACAAATCGGACAAAAATGTTACAGCTCTTTTAGTGATGGATGCCTATCTGTGGGGTTCAGCTTCCTGTAGCTTGAGGCCTTCTTGCCTCCCTCACAGCCGCAGTGGATCATGTTAGCAGTTCGGGTCTTTTTTGTACATGGCCTTGGGGCAGCTTCCCTGACGGGAGACCCTTGATAATGGGCCTGTCGTGGGCACCCCGGAGAGAGGCAGGGGCCGGAGCTGACTCGTGTTGCATCGGCCCATTCCTGGGGAGGGTACAGTGCAGTGGGGGCCGTTTGTTTTTTTAGTGGTCTGGGAACTTGTGGTGTAATCAGATAATTAATAATCCAGGGTGCGGGGAGGGGGAAAAGGTCCTTGGAGTGGCTGAATCTCACTGAAATCTAAGACCCTGTCAGATGCCGGATGCAGGGTTCTTTTCCGAGACATCCCAAAAGGGAAGCTAAAGCTGCCGGCCACAGCTCTGGTAACGCACTGGCCCGTATGAGGCGCCCTCGCTCTGGGACAGGGTGAGGGGTCTCCAAATCCCTGAGATGTGGAACCTGCCCCCTGCACTCCCTAAAGCTTATTAACCCCTTAACGGTCTCCCAGGATATGCGTGCGTGCGCGCGCGTGTGTGCGCGCACACAAACGCATGCACACACACACGGGGGAGATGCCTGGGCTATCTTTGCTCTATGTAAATAGGGTCGTTGGATCTTTATTTTTGATTAATTTGTTCTGATTTTTTTGGCTTGTTTTCTAAGGAACTGTAATGAACAAATGTCAGGAGACCCAATGCCAAATAAAGATGTTGTATTTATTTAGTCCACGTGTAGCTTTCTGACCCAGGGGATTCACTCTGTCTGCATAGGCTCTGTTACTAACCCCGGGACTACCAGCCCCACCACTGCCACCCTCGCTTGCTCAGGGCACTCGCCTGCCAGCCCACACCAGCTGTCTGTGTTTCTCTCTCCCTCCCCATTCCCACCACAGGTTGCTCACCAAGGTGAAGGGTTCGTAGCCGCTGGGATCGAAGACGCTGGCCTGGCCTTCTCCCCTCTTGCCCTGGCCCAGCCAGGACCAAACTCTGATCAGTATTAGGGGTGGGGGGAGGTAGACACTGAACCCCAGCCTGGTCCCCCCACGCCCACCCCCCACTCCCACGCAGGGGGAGGGACACAACTGAACTCTGGTAATGAGGGCATGGACAGGATCCACCTCGGCCTCCAAGCCCCCCCGTCGCCCTCATATCCTTGCCACTCCCGCACTATCTTAGGTGAGTTTTTGCAAATAAAATGTGTTTCACCTCTTGCTGGCCTGGGTTGGGAAGCCTCAAGAGCGCATGGGAAGGAAGCACTCAGGCCTCATGGGCACGATCCATCGAAAAGCTTTATTAAAAATACCAGGGAGCAGTGGGGTGGCATTGCGGGTAGGTTCAGTCTTGTTGCTTGGTTCGGGAGGCCTCGGCGTTGGCCCGGAGCACAGCCCCTGGGGATGGGTAGGGGCGCTGCTGGAAGAGGGGCCCCGCGGCTGTCGTGTCTGCACCCGTCTTGGCCTCATTCCGCTTGGGGAGTCCTGTTGACCATGTGCCCCTGGTGGTGAGGGGTTTAGGAAATAGGGGTCAGGAGTTGGGAATATGGGATGCAGTGGGCACTCCCCACTCCCAGCTCCAACAACTGACAAATCGGGGAAGGAGACAGGAAAAAAGGAATGGTCATCAGTGCAAGGGACTCATGAGGGAAAGAGAAGGGCTTGTGAGGGCTTTTCCTTTACCGGGGTGCATCCGAGTACGAGCTGGGATCCATGGGGTCTAACTCTTCATCCTTCCGGCTTGCCGCTGAGGAAACAGGTGGCAGAGTGAGGTTTTCAGTAGAGACACAAGGAGCCCCTGATCACCAACCTCCCCCATCCCAGGGAGAAACGGGGTGCATGGCTGCCGTGGCCCACAGCACCCCATCCCAGGCTCAGGCACTCGCATGAGCAAAGGGAGGGCCTCTCTTTCATGGCTCTCCCGTGGTGCCTAATCTGCCTCGGGCCCCGGCCCTGCTGTTGAGCTTACCCTTCTTGCTCTTGGGGTAGGGCGCCAGCTCCTCCCTGCGATGATGGCGCCGTTCTTTGCTCTCTTCCCGCTCTGATTTCTCATACCCACGATCCCGATCCCGATCCCTGTCCCGCTCTCTCTCTCTCTCCACTTTGTCATAACCACGCTCCCGGTCTCGGTCCGACTTCTCGTGGCCCCGGTCCGACTTCTCGTGGCCCCGGTCCGACTTCTCGTGGCCTCGGTCTGACTTCTCATGGCCCCGATCCACCTTCTCCTCAGCATCTGGGAACACAAAAGCCTTGAAGTGACCTTTCTCCTCCAATCTCCGGCCCCAGCAGCCTCTGCCTTCAGTAACTGCCCCCCCTCTTGCCTGGGGTTTGGTCTGCCTGTCTCACCTGCCCCTCCCCAGTCCACTGTCATTTACCTGACCCCTCCCTGAGAACTGCAGGACCATGGAGGCACCCTTAGGTCCGCCAACTCACCTGCATTACTTGCCCTGAGCTTCTTGGCGGATTTGGTAACGACGGAGTTGGGGTCATGTGGGGAGAGCCAGGACACGAGGTCTGTGTCCACATTCCAGTAGTAAGGGAGCCCGCTGTGGGGCAGTGGGAAGGAAGCAGGGGAGGGAGAGAGGGAGGGGGAGAGAGGAGGGAAGGAGGGAAGGAGGGAGTGGAGGAGTGTCAGCACAGGGGTCTTTTTTTTAAGATTTTATTTGATTTTTATTTGACAGACAGAGATCACAAGTAGGCAGAGAGGCAGTTAGAGAGAGAGGGGGAAGCAGGCTCCCTGCTGAGCAGAGAGCCCAATGCGGGGCTCGATCCCAGGATCCCGGGATCATGACCCGAGCCGAAAGCAGAGGCTTTAACCCACTGAGCCACCCAGGCGCCCCAGCACAGGGGTCTTATAGCCTCAACTCCTACCCATCTCTTGTAACTGCCCCACATCAGGACCCCAGAGGGAGGACCCCCCAGACCTCTTCTCTGTGTTTCCCATTTACCCCAAGGCCAGGGACAGCACAGGAAAGGTGAAGTCAGATGTCAGTTCCCCCACCCACCCCCACCCCAGTTCCCCAGGCTCACCAGGAAGGGTCAAACACCTTGTACCAGCTCGGTGGCAGGCCCTCCAACCGGGTGGCCTCATAGTCTACCGGGTCATCATCATAGTCCTCGGCAATGATCTCTTCCTCTGGCTCTGGCAGAATAGCGGGGTGGAGGAAAGCAGTAAGGACTAGAGGGATTCTCATCTTACAGCCAGAGCCTGGAGAGACACTCAAATGCACATGGACCACGTGTGTGTGTGTGTGTGTGTGTGTGTGTGCACGCGCACGCATGCACACACACCAGGTCTCACCTTCTGTGCAAATATCACATTCCAAATCCAAGTGTCTGAAGATCAGGGGATTTTCCAAAAAATGTACCTAAATCTCTTCTGTTTCTGGGTTCAGGTAAAATCTGGGATTTGATGCTGTCTCCCACACCTATCTGATTTCAGAATTTAGACAAGGATTCATCATACAAACGTATCCTCCAGTTCCCGAGTTCAGGAAGCATGGGACATCATGCTATCCAAATCTATTTGGATAAAATGAGTTTGAACAGTAACGGATTGTTCTGAAAATATGTCCAAATCTGCTCAGCTCCCAAAGCCTGGAAAATAACGGGTTTCTTTTTTTTTTAAGATTTTATTTATGTATTTGACAGAGAGAGAGAGAGAGATCACAAGTAGGCAGAGAGGCAGGCAGAGAGAGGGAGAAGCAGGCTCACCGCTGAGCAGAGAGCCCGATGCGGGGCTCGATCCCAGGACCCTGAGATCATGACCTAAGCCAAAGGCAGAGGCTTAACCCACTGAGCCACCCAGGCGCCCCAAATAACGGGTTTCTGATCTTGTATATTGAGCAGCAAGTCTGGATAGCAGGGGATATATCCCAAACACTGCTCTGGGTCCATTCAGTTCCTAGGCTTGACACATAGCAGGCCTATGGCAGCTGTCAGTTACTATTGGCAAAATAAAAGAGGTGAATGTTGTTAGCTTGGTACGTGACCCTCAGTAGGCCTAGCACAGATTTCAGCTGTGGCTGGAACTAACAATGAAATGTACATGTCAGCAGCAGCATACTGTCTGTCACACAATAGGCCCAAAGTAGATGTGAGCTATCATCAACAGTATCGTTAGTAAGATGTATATTCCATCAGCACAGGGCCTCGTACTCAACAGGCTTACAATAATGGTCAGTGATCGTTATCAGTATTAACCACAAGATCTATGCGTGGCACAGTTGCTTGTAACAGATGGCCTTTACCAGTAAGGTGAAAATAAGATGTACTTCCCAGTGCTTAGCACACTGTACCCAAAACAGATGCCAAAAAAAACCCCTCAAAAACAAAAAAACCACCACACCAGATGCCAGCTTTTACTATTACTGACAATGAGGTGGAAATCTTAGCACAAGCAGCCCAGGAGGCATACATGATAGATCCTATCATTATTTTCTACTGTTAGCCATAATGCACATGCCAAGCACTTGGGCTCAAAATACATGTCAGCTACGGATATGGTGAACAATAAGTTACAGATCACCAGCATAGTGCCTGGTGGCACCATTGTAGGTCTAAAATAAGGTAATCATTAGGGTAAAGAAGTATCAGCATCCTGCTACGGTCTACTAGGATACTTTGTAATACCTTCCAACGGACTGCTTGTTGGATTGCACGTGGCACACAAGAGAACCCCAAAAAGGCCTTCTGCTGTCAATATTAAGCACTAAATATGCATTCCCCACCCCCACCCCCGCCCGCGGTAGGAATGAATGTCAGGAAGCCATATTGTTAACAATGCCCGCCACCTGACTGATTGGTGCGCAATAGGGTCCATGCTAGGTATGAAGTGGCAGTTATGAAGAACAAAGTGCCTGTCAAGCCTGCCACATGGTAGGCCCATCTGCTTTTAGCTCGCTTACCGGGCTCCAGATGTTTGAGGATGCCTCTCTTGGCCAAGCGGGTCTGCAGCGCAACAGGCAGCGGCATAGTGGACAGCAGACAGACCTAGGGACGGACGGACGGACAGGTACACGCGCGCGCACACACACACACACACACACACACACACACAAACCGCCAGCTCAAATGAGGATTCAAATCCCGATCCTAAAATCAAGCGCCTCCTCCCAGCATATACTCCATCTGGACCCCCACCTACCTACCTGCACGGATAGCTGGTCGGACGGAACCGACGCACTAAGAGGTGGGAAGATAGGTGCACTGCCACCCAAACTCCCACCGACCCCCGCCTCGAGGCTGGGTGTTCCAGGACCCAGTTCCCCTCCCAGGCCCAGGCTCCGCCCACCGCCGAAGGGGCCAAGCTCAGTTCCAACCCCCTGCGTCCCAGGAATGGGCTCACCCAACGTCCCCCACAGACTCCTGGGTGGGAGAAACCAAAGCTCCGGGATGGGGGAGCAGAGCACAGCACCTCCTCCTGTTGCAAAAGGTGCACCCACCCCAACATTACCAATACAATCCCGCGCGTACTGGAAGGCTATCAGATGGGCCGGCTTTCTCTTGTAGCTGCTAGGATCACCAGAA